CTTTATCTGATTTTTCGGGTTCCGGTATATCTGATTCTATTAAGGATGATCTTTCGATATGCTCTATCGGTTTTGTTTCCTATTTATATGGATAAACTTAGTTCAAATGAAATAATACTTTATCATTAAACAGGATGCATACCAAATTTTTTTTAATATCCGATAATTCTTGTTCGCTATAAAGTTTGTGATAATTAGTAATCGGAACTTTAACGCTAAGAAAGGGTCAACAGTTGAAACTAACTTGATAGCATGTAAATTTGGTATAGCGGATGAATTATTATCATGCTGCATAATGTCAAGGGGTTTTGTAATTTCTATAAGTCTGGCAAGACGTTGTTCTTGCTTTAATGTAATGAAAAAATAGAAATATTTTAATACAACAATAAAGAGTAAATCACATAAGAGAGAATAAAATTACCTTTAATAAATCTTGCAGTGTGTTCTCTAAATTAGTAGTAGATTCATCTTTAATTTCGTTTCTAATCACATCCATGTAATTATCCAAATCATCATCGGTAAGAGCTATGGTTGTTGATGTTCCTGCACAAAAAAACAATATATTATTATTAAAGTATAAAATACAAAAAAGAATAAAGATTTGTTTGGTTATTTACAAAGTAATTAATTGTATATTAAAAATAAATAAATATACCGGATTTAGCGACTTGATGTATCTTATTTCGTATTTCTTCAATACTAACCAAGAGTTCTTCTCGTTGTTTTATTAGAGATTCATATGTCTCAACTTTTTGTGCCGGCTGAGACTTTTTTGATTTTAATCTGTCTTCTTTTTATAGTGAAAAAAAAACCGGAAATTTGATAAACTTATAAAAGAACCATAAATGATATTTTTATATAGTATAGTAAAATTTTTACTTTGACCAGTTCGATCATAAAAGCTATCATCATCGTCACTTTCGACATCTAACAAGTGCTGAAGTCTTTTTTTCCTTGCCGCTAGAAATATCATATAAAAAAATTTTTGGTTAAAAAAATTAGTGTTTTATATACATGAATCATTAATAACATTCTCCCTACCAGCTTCGTCTTGCCCTGCACGCAGAAGGCCTAACATATCCAATTTTTCACAAGCATCAATTGCTGCTTGTCTATCAGCATCTCTATAAAATGGCGAACAAATAGCTGTTAGCATAAAAGTGCATACATTATTGGATAAATATTGTTTAATATTGCTTAAAAATGTAGACGAACCGTTTCTTTGATCCGGTTCCTATACCATAAACGGGTCCATATGCATCTTCAACATCTGGTAATTGAATGCTAAGAAATAAAAGAATTAACAAAGTTCTGATATTCTTAGGAGAAAAAAAATTTGATTAAAATATAGATACCGAGAAGTAAAAATGCGCGCATGGCCTGGTCCCTCTTGTTCGCTTTCAAACTCCATGTCATAACCCCGATTCTTTTTGAAATTATAATCAGCGATTATTCAAAAGTACTTTTTCTAATGTTAATCAATACAAACCTCAAGCCAATTCCTTAATGCTTTTTTCGGATCTTTATAATAATAAGCATTTTCGTCACGTTTCCAAGATTCTTTTGCTACAGCTACCAAAACCTCGCTTTCATCTTCGGCATCCTCTGCAAAACCCCTAAGCACATTGTAAATAATTATTAATATGTAATTGCTATTGGAACTTGTAAGAATTCATCTTTATGTACCAAGTAACGCTTGTAGTTTCAGGTGCTGGCTTCGATTGAAGCTTAGGCTTAATTGTTTGCTGCGTTTGTGGTTCTTCCGGACCCAGCAAAACATATGTTCGCGTACTTTCGCCAAACTTTATCTGGTCACCAACACGAAGTCGGATATAATTCCGCGATGATATTTGTTGTTTGTTTACTCTGGTTCCATGCGCACTATCTAAATCATATATAAAAATCTCGCCTTTTTTGAATATAATAAACGAAAATGCAATAATTACAATTACAATTGAAAATTAAAAAACATTATTATTATTATTGAAGAATCGGTTCACACCTTTATTATTAAATTGAATGACAGCATGATATCTAGAAATTGACTATAAAAAAAGAACGCATTGTAAATTGTCAAGGATCGGATGTGAGATACTAAATATTATATGTTTTATATGCTTTTCGTAACTAAAACTATTTGGATACAGGATGTTCCATTGATAAATCACACACCGGTAACCGTCCTGAATATTAGGAATTTCTACTGTTAGGGATATATAACATATAGCGATAACTTATCCAAACTGTTTCATTATAATTTTCACACACCAAGAACCAAAAATTCTTTAGATGGAAGATCTATTATCTCCACACTAAGCCCACCCTTTATAACTTCAAAACCATAATCAATCTTCGATATATCACTCCAGTCGGGTTTTTCATAAGGAACTGGAGGTACCGACTCTGGTGTTTTTGCTAATTAATGCAATAGCAAAACATGAAAGTAAAGAGCATTCATTATATAATACTGGAAAACATGAATAAATAAGATCTACGTATTTACTGTTTACGGGTGCTGGAACTTTGAATTCAGTAGCAGAATCCGAGACTTTTTCCTGATCAGAGTTTTCCATTTCAGTTTGTGACCATGCTACTGGAACAAGGGCTATGAATTAATATTATCTCACCGCAGTATTTTTATCTGATTTTATTGGTTCGGCGGTTTTATCCTTTCACAATTTTCTATTTTTGTTTTAAAACTAATTAAACCCAATTAACCAATGGATCGACGAGAATGTTGGTCCAACTTAGAATAATTTGTCCTACGATGATCTTCTGTCGTTTACAAGCGAGCATTTGTGTTACATTCCTCAATCGAACCGTTGTGCCTCGTATTACTTATTATTACCCAGAATTGGGCCCACTTCTATAATTTTTCTGTGGCC